TAGTATGCTCTGAAACAAAACCCAAGAGCGGGCATCATTGAATCTACACTGGAGATCCTTGGAGGGAATAAGTCCCACCTTCCCTCCTTCTTCCTTGAACATGGAGAACCAGCAAGGCTTAGGAAATTAGAGTACCTTGCTACAAATCTCTCTATCAAGTGGGGGGGGGGGGTTATTGCTTTATTTAAGCCCATCCATCCCTTTTTTTATAATGATTCACATAATAATTACCACATCCAGACATTTCAAAGAAGAGACTAAGACTATGGCCAGTATACAGCCCATTGGCCATTTCCTCATCCTACCTGATCCTACCACTTCTCTCCATAGTGCGCACCTAATGATTGAACGATGGTAACACCCCTGGTTGACCCGTTGCACTTTCAAATGCAGTAGGAAATTCCTTTTGAGAGCAAGAAGGAAGTGTCGATCAATAGGAACATGTTGAATAATAAATTCAATATGTGACCCAAATCTCCAGGAAACCGTTTTGCAACTGCTGCTTGTTTGAAGCAAATGACAAGCCATTTTCTAAACATAAACTTTTGCTTGTGTTCTCTTGGGATGCCTGCACAATTATCTGTAACATTATTTATCGTGTCTTTCTTCTTCTTTTCCCCACCGCCTGCATTTCATTTTCTCTGCCAGTTCTCCTACTCAAACACAGACATTACGTAGGCAGCCTTGACATTCTCCACACCAGTATGGCAGAATAAAATATAAAGAGTGCTGCACTTTATAGCAACAAGCACAGTTTTCAAAAGTGGCACGGGCATTTGCATTCTTTTTTATATCATTCTCACCCGACATCAAATCCACATTTAACCGAATGCCACTCTGTTAACAAGCATTTTTATTTCCCACCCACTCATAGTGAGGAAATGAAGTACAGATTAGTAAAGGGCAAAGTTTTCCAAGAGATCTGCTGCCGTGCATACTAGCAAAGAAAATAAGCAAATGTTAAAATGTCCTTATATGAATCTTGCCTTTGCCACAAGCTCACAATGCTACCTCAAGCAAGCCACTTTCCTCCAGCCCCATCCTTCCACCCCCCACTATTTACAACAAGGGAGATCACAATTCCCTTCAGCTATGCAGGGTCATTTTACATATTAGAAATCTCTGTGTAGGTATGGAGCACTCCAGGTACTCAAAAACACTACCCTATATACTCACATATAAATCTAGAAACTTTAGTAAAAAAATCACCCCCCAAAAAACTGGGTCAGGTTATCCATGGGTTGATGTGAATAATACTATACATTGCCTCTTATCAAAAAAAAGAGCAATTCCCTTCTCTCAATGAAATAGTGATAAGCAAAAGCTTAATCCATCCCGGGAGAACAGAATAGAAGTGCTGCCTCTACTCACTTCACCATGGTACAGCTTCTGTCTTTTCTGATGCCTGAGGGCCCTTCCACACAGCTGAATAAAATCCCACATTATCTGCTTTGAACTGGAATATATGGCAGTATGGACTCAGGTAACCCAGTTCAAAGCAGATATTGTGGGATTTTATTCAGCTGTGTGGAAGGGCCCTCAGGCATCAGAAAAGACAGAAGCTGAACCATGGTGAAGTGAGTAGAGGCAGCACTTCTATTCTGTTCTCCCGGGATGGATTAAGCTTTTGATATTCTGATTTATATGGCTGTGTAGAAGGGCCCTTAGTGAGAAAATAGCAGTCATATCCCAGGGCGGCTAGCTCTCTGAGTTTGCATTGGTGCTTTTCACCCTCCAGGGAATAACCTTTATACCTGGGTCATATCAGGATCCATAATTGTGACCCAAAAACCTGCCCTATGACATCCACTTACACATGACATTTTACGATATATAAATGCCAAGTGGTAGCTGCTAGCTTCTGAAATGCTGAAGTTATTAGAATATTAGAAACTATATTACTTTTTGGACAGGTCTTTTAAAAATTCAGACTAAAACCATAATGTTCACATGTAAACTACCAGCCAGGGTGGTAATATCAATGTGTTGAGCAGCATTTGGCATCTATGTAGGGTGCACTGAAATATAGGCCTCATCTAGTTGTGAGTCAAAAAGAGAGCTCAAGGTGGTTGCATGGAAATGTTCATTTTGTGTGTGCATGTCAAAATTGAGGGAAGTTATATAACTCATATCATCATGAGGAGACAGCAAAGCCTGGAGAAGACATTTATGCTGGGGAAGGTGGAAGGTAAAAGGAAGAGGGGCCGACCAAGGGCAAGATAGATGGATGGCATCCTTGAAGTGACTGGACTGACCTTGAAGGAGCTGGGGGTGGTGACGGCCGACTGGGAGCTCTGGCGTGGGCTGGTCCATGAGGTCACAAAGAGTCAGAGACGACTGAACGAATGAACAACAACAATGTAACTCATATATCCGAACCTAAGTTTTGAAATTGTGTTCCATCTATTTGTTTTCAACATACCAGAAAGTTGAACACAGTGCTCCTCAGTACCAAACAAGTGTGTTTTACATGCTCAGAGCCATCTTTTACTGACAAATTGGGATCCACAATTGGCTAGAAGAGTTGGATTGCAATGGTTGATCCTCCTTCTAAACCTTTAGGTGGATACTCACCTCATATAAATGCTGTAAATAAATAAATACTAAATTTGAATAGTTAAAGCCCATACTGTTTGTTTATTTGTACATACATTCATTTTTTATGTTTACATATATAGAGCTCTACATAGCTCTGTATTATTCTTCATGGTGAACAAGTGTGCTCCCCTTGGGATGGTAAAAATAGAAACTATTCTACTCCTGCTGTGGCTTACCTACTCATCCCATCATATTACTCATCTGAACATTCAAAGCCAGCTCCTTTGTAGTTGTCACAGAAGACGGATACACTGTCTTCTTCAATGACATAAACTGTGAATAGAAATAGGACACCATACTGTATAACCTGAAGATGTTCCTTGCTCAGACATCTTAAAAATTAGGACAAGAAAAGAATTTTGGGGGTAAGGTCAGAAACTAGCACAGATATTTGAATGTGCTTTTTCAGAATTTTCTATCAGTATTCCCTTCATAATGGGGGAGGGGCAAGGTTGTTTGCTTGTTTTGTGACCACAATTTTGTTTCCACTGGATAATGCTGTGATAATGCGAGAACTAGGCCTGACAGTTGTAAAAAGAAAATCAACACACCTTAGGAAAATGAAAGAATTTGTGTTACTGCTACTTTTCCTTTTGCCCTCATTCCTATCAATGAAATGGTCCCCATATTTTCTCTATAAATTGGATAAGGTGGAGAGACCATTTGCAAATCGTTCTAGTTTTTCCATGCTTAACTACTCAAAAATTTTAAAGGAAATATGACTTGTGGTGTAAATAAATCAGGAATGAAATGTAGATAGAGAGTTTGGAGAATGCAGTTGGGAGTTGTTCTTTGCTCAAGTGGATAAGAAATGCAAACGTGGGATATAGGGTTAGCATAGAAGGGGTCAAAGATGGCTTTGGTCACCTTGGTGAATAACAATAACCTACACCAGATGGAGAATTGTGTCCCTCTAGGTTTTGCTAGACCTTTTGATGGATTTTCATACTGTTCATCATGGTTACTTTGCTGAGATGGAACTTAGAGGCACTGTTTTACAGTGGCCCCATTGCCTTCTGGAGGGATGAACCAAGAAGGTGGTGTTGGGACAACTCCTTTTCAATGTTAGCCCATGGAATCCCCCAGGCCTCTGAAACTATCCCCCAGGGTTCTGAAACATGAAACTATTAGGAGAGGTTATCTGGTGATTTGAGGTGCCGTGCCACCAATGTGCTGATATTAATACTCAGTCTTTTCCATCTTGATCTGAGGAATTTGTTTTGGGTTTAAACCAGCGTGTGTTATCAATAATGGACTGTATGAGGAAGAACAAATTGACTCTCAATCGAGACTACACAGAAGTATATTGTATTGTGTAACTTTACTGTAACTATAATGAAGGTTCCCGCAAAGCATGAACAAAACCTTGAGAGAGTCAAGGGGTAGGTTAGGGAATAGGAATTCAGCTACCTGAATTCTGAAGATGCAGATTCACTGCAAGGATACACAGGCATGGAAAAATGCATGTTTCTCAGGAAGAACCAGGTTTAAAATGCAACTTTTAAACATGTGTTTCCAGCCTTTAACCCGATTCTTCCTGCAATGTTTAGCCACTCCCCCTTTTTAACCTGGTTTAACCTGGGTTATAATGCATGTGTGGAAGGGCCCTAAGAGGATGCTGCTTAATTGTACTATGGTTTAACCACATTTTAATATTTTTAATTCTGTATTTTAAGTTGTTTAACTATTGTGAATAGTTTAAGGCCCAAATCTACACTGCCATATAATACAATTTCAAACTGCATTATATGGCAGTGTAGAAGGGGGCTTAGTTAAGTATACTTAAATAAATAGCCTGACCTCACCAATCCTATTTTACTGGGTAGCAGCCAGGCAAATGGTGAGGGGCTGTTCTCTCATCACTTAGGAGGCAACAAACTGGTAGGATTGAGGAAAGTCCACAGTTCTTTCATATTCCCTACACATTGTAATGATTGTGAATATGAATCAGTTACAGGTATGTAACTCTACGTTATAGATTAAAAGCTGCTATTGTGAATTGTAACCAATAATAATATATGCCTGAACAAATAAAACGACACAGGATTAATCTAGTGATTAAGCAATTCCCTAAATAATTATCACACTGAATATCAAACTTCAGATATTCACAACTCATCACAAGTCCTAGTTTAGGGGTGTAGATATCACCAGACATTTGGTTCTGAAAATTTGTTAAGCAAAAATGCCAGAAATACTGAAGCAATGCTCATTAAAGTGTAAAAGGTGTGATGAACATTGTTCAAAAATATCAGCATAAGAATTCATTAGTACTGAAATCTGCCCGCCAGTTTCTCAATCATTTCCTTTCCCCATGGCAGTGGCAGACATTCTTCTTGCTTTGTTCACATGGTGGATTACAACTTCTTTTAAAAATCTTATGATGATGGTTCTCATCTTACCTTATATTTGCAAGGTGACTGAGGTTTCTATGTGTGTATCTTTCCATGTAAAAACTAGCAAGAGAGGGGTTACAGAATGAGTGATTCACCTGGGCCCCTTTCACACCACACAGTTAAAGAATTTTGACAAAGATCCACCCAGAGGAAAAGTGTTCTTGCCATACATCAAGGGAACCACTGACTGCATAGGGAAGCTGATAAGGAAACACAACATACAAACTATCTACAGACCCATTAAGAAAAATCCAACAAATGCTACATTCAGCAAAGGGAGCCTCTCAATTCTGCAGGAGTCTACCGTATACCATGCAGCTGTGGACAAGTCTACATAGGGACCACCAAACACAGCGCCTAAACACGAATCAAGGAACGTGAAAGGCACTTCAGACTACTTCAACCAGAGAAGTCAGCCATGTGGGCCAACCTAGACACAGCATATTATTTGAGAACACAGAAATGCTGGACCACTCTAACAACCACCATGTCAGACTATTAACAGAGAAGCCATTGAAATCCATAAGCATGTGGACAATTTCAACAGAAAGGAGGAAACCATGAAAATGAACAAAATCTGGCTACCAGTATTTTAAAAAATATAACAGTAAAGCAGCACTCAAACACAGAGAAACTCCAGAGAGGAAGCAATCAGGGACAGCTAATCACCTCTCAACAAAAGATTCCCCCAGGAACTAACTAGCCACACCAAAAAACTGCCAGGCCATCAAATGCTAATTAAACATTCACACCTAGCTCCAACAGACAAGAGTTCTTTCCCCCACCCTGGACATTCCACAGATATATAAATACTGTTTTCCTAGTTCCAACAGGCCTCATAACCTCTGAGGATGCTTGCCATAGATGTAGGCAAAACATCAGGAGAGAATGCTTCTAGAACATGGCCATATAGCCCGAAAAACCTACAACAACCCACTTTGATATCATTTTAACTGCCATAGTAGTGTCATACAGAGCGTTTTTAAGTTTTTTGAGGCACTAGAGCATTCTCTTACTCTTCTAGAATTATATGTATTCCACAAAACAACAAATCTCAACATTCCACAAGATTGTTATCAAAGTGCTCTAATTGCACAGTGTGAAAGGGATGCTTCACTGTAAGTAGAAGAAGCCATGGAAAGCTGCTTAACTTTGCTGGAGAGATAGTACAGCTCAAGATAAGACACTGTCATACACATCCTTGTTGTGTGTTTTCAAGTCACTCACTAAGGACCTCATCAGATGGGAAGTGGAAAAGTGGAGGAAACCATCCTCCTTCATTCCCTACCATCTTTCCCTGTCTTTTGGAATGCCCTGCCAACCCACATGGTTTCCCATTATTCCCTAGCTTTCTCTTTGTGTTTGGAGGAGTTGGTTTTACCCGATTCCTTCAAAGCCACTCTAGACTCCATTTTTCCATGTTACCAATACAGAGCCCCACTGAGTCCCACCAGAAGTTGGCTTGTGTCATGTGGTGGACTCCGTGGGACAAAGGTGAGAAGACACAGAGAAGAGTGTGTCTGATAAAGTCCTTTGGCAAACTTATCACAGGGTTTTCTTGGCAAGATGTCCAGAAGGGCTTGCCTCCACCATCATTAGAGGCTGAGAAAATGTAACTTCCTCAAGGTCACCTAGTAGATTTCCATGGCCAAGCAAAAATTCGAACCCTGGTCTACAGAGTCCAGCACTCAAACTACTACACTATGCTGGTTCTTTTGCACATCCTTGGCCATGGCTTAAGCTAAGGTAGGTGTATTTTAGCAATTTTTTAATTTTCTTTTTAAAAAATTTTAACAGATGACCCATTTTCTGTGGAACTGAATTAATTTTTTTAAAATCCCATCAGAAGCATTTTTCAGGACAGAAGTAGAATTAGTAGCTTCCCTATTATCATCAAACATGTGCTTTTAGAGTCTTTACCTCAACTGGGTCACACAATAGAGTTAATTACATCTCAGCATGACCTGATTCATTGCAGTTTGGAAGCACTTTTCACCCCTCTTCCTCAACACTTTTCTTTCTTTTGTTTTGCTTTAGTGCATTGTACAATGAACCAACAAATTGCACATTGATTTACTAGTTTATACGACACTGCTGCAAATTACTGTCTACGTACACAAACCAACACACAAATATACACAACCACATACTACGTATAGCAAACAAAACCAGAAGTGTTTTAAAAATAATTTCAGAATAAAAGAGCAGACTGGAAATAACAGGTCCCCCTTTCTTTCTTCCTCCACGTGGACTCTTGGAGAGACAAGGGCTCTCTGGAAAACATCTGCCATAATAAGACTGAAAAAGAATGAGGATGCTGAAGAGAGGGGGAAACGAGTCGATCTGAGAATCACTCTCTTTACTGCCTAACTACCCTTTACTTTTGAGATGATAAAAATAATGGAGAAAATGTGTGAGTCTCTGAGTAGTCAAAGCTAGAATATTACTTGAGCCTTTTAAACCTTGATTGGTGATGCTTTGATCTGATGAAGGAAAGAAATTCAAATTAATATCTAAGGCTTTGGAGAATAGAATGGCATCATTTGTTTCCTCTGTGGGAGGTACTGAAGAACAGCTATTTTAAAAACCATGAAAAGGATCTATTTTCCTTCCTAGATAGCTCTCCTCACAAGCCACTTAGAGACACTCTTAGTAGAGGAAAGAGGCATGATGATGATGATGATGATGATGATGATGATGATGATGATATTGCCTCCTACACCTACACTGGTAACTAAAAAACAAAAGAAAAGATGGAATGAGCCACAGCTTGGAAAGGTTACTTTGTTGGACTGTATTTCCCAGAATCCACTGGCAGCATAGAAAGAAAGTACTGTAACTCTTCTAAATTCTGGAATGCATTCTTAAGTGAAACACCACTTTCTCTTTGAACTGTAGGCTTTATTTTCTAAACATGCGCACATTAAAATTTTGGGGTCTACGTGAAATAGGACAAAGGGAAAACATAATTTCAACACAATTGTCTTGTCTCATTTCAGGACTTTGGAAATGCTACTTTGGGTGGGTGGACTGGCAGTCCTGGTGGGAAGTGAGGAGGAAGTGGCATCTCAGAGAGGTACAGGTGAAAGTGAAACTGGGCTGCATCTTCATTACATTGTTGGCCATGCACAAACAGTATTTTTTTCCACCCTAAATTGTCATGGCATACTACTATCAGTCATCTGATGTTCTCCCACCAAATATGTTCTGGGAAGACCATAGGTACAGTTATTGTAATTCCAATAGTATTATTGCAGTCATAAATTTGCTGTCAAACACAATACATTACAGAAAAATCAAATACTTATGTGTTCACACTACAAATGCACACAGACAAATATTGTATTGTGTAACTTTACTGTAACTATAATGAAGGTTCCCGCAAAGCACTGAGAGACACTTTAAGGCACTTTCTATGAAGAACCACAATGAACTGACTAGAATAAATGGACAAACGGGGTTGCGGCTGCAAGCGGGGACAGAAGCCTGAATTTGCCCTCTGATCTTTAGCTATAAATGATCCTGATAGTGGAGGTGGTAATAGAAGGTGGAGAAATAAATTACAACATGGAACAAATAGTAATAAACAGTTTCAAAGAAGAGAGTTAAAAATAATGGTGGAGCTAACTTACCACCAAGACCTGGCTGTCAACAAGAAAAGTTAGGCTGTCTTACAACAAAAGCCAGCAGTCAGATATTAGAAGAAATCACCCAGATGAATGAATACTTTTCCTGCTTTCTGGAAGTACTAAAATCCAGTATTTACTTCTAATAGTGTCCTGCTGCCTGACCCTATTCAGTCATGCCATGGGTTATATCAGAGTTTACTTTATGGCAGAGGTGTGTATGGAAGACTCTTCCCCATCCTTGCATGTGCTGGTTCAATGTCTGACTTTTACATATTCCTTGTGAGTCTAGAGAAGTCCAAGCACATTTAGATAAGCATATTGAGTGGAGCATAGTTTTTACCTTTTAGGCATTTACACAGAACATGTGATAGACAGAAACTTTCTCTCATGAGAAACTACAGACAGAGCTAATATGTGAAACCCTAATCAATCCCTATATGTATGTAGGAAATGCCCAGGGTATAAATGGCCTTTGCCCAGATATATATGTTCATACAGTCAGCTACCCCACATTCACATGGGTTAAACATGCAGGGCACCCTTGAAAGCGGAAAACATGACTATAGTGGAGGCAAGGGTAAGGTGTGGAGGTCTCTTCAGGTTTGCGAAGCAGGTGGCTGAGAGGGCTCACTGTAGGGGAAGAGCATGAAGAATGTACAACTCTCTCCCCAAAGCCCCTGCATGCCCTCTCTCTCTTCAAAGCCCCTGCATGCTCATTCACACAGTAGCCCCGCACTTTGAGAGGATGAGAGGATGAGCAACTGCTATTGCAAACTGCCACATGTACAAGTCACACAGCAGGACCACACATCAGGAGGGACAAGGACAGTAATTGCTCCCAGTAATCAGGATTGTCACATCCGCATTCACATAGCAGTCACATGCTTAAAGGCAATTGAGGAAAGGATGAGTGTATGTAGATTCTTGAATAATTTTTATGTTCTGGTCAATTTTAATGTCCCTCCAATTCACACTGAAAACTTGAGGTACCTTCCTTTTTCAGGTCCTTATTTTTTAATTTAAAAAAAGATCGGAGAGAACATAAAATAGGAACTGTTGTTTCTGAAGAAATATCCAAATTGCTTCCATCACCTTCCTCCCCAATGATATAAAAAGTGATGAAGTCCCATCCTACCAGTAATCTCTGGTGCAACAATCAGAAACAGGATCTTTGTAACAATTCCTTTTCTCATCAAAGATTGTAGACAAGAGGGAATGGAAACATCATAGGATCATAGAGTTGGAAGACACCACATTGGCCATCTAGTCCAACCCTTGTCTGCTGTAGCCCGATTTACAGGAGAACAGACTTCCATCACCTACAATGGCTGATGCACAGTAAAACAGGATTGGGAGACTTTCACAATTATGGCAATGGTACCATGATTGTGAATACATAGGGGCCATGAATATGAATCACTCATGCAAGTGCCACTCTAAATTATGCATCTGCAACTGTGATAGTAAATTCCAACCATCATCTAAAAAAGACTTGCTTATCAAAAGGCGTGTGTTAGGAGAGTGCAGAGGGAAAGCGAATGAGAGAAGTAATATCCCCTAACTGGTTTTCAGTCTCCAATGGGAGATCACTTCTAAAGCTCAAATTGTCCTTTAAGTATAAGCAAGATAGCAAAGATTAATAAACATTTGGCACAAAATGTAATTGTATAGTTCTTCAGTCAGACTGGAAAGAGGTTTCTATTTTAATTTGATTTGCTTATTCTGTTAAAGTTTTTTTTTCCTAAGGTCCAAAGAGGAAAAGATCCAATAAAAAGACTTTCTTTCAACACTGTACTAGGAATCAATGCAGAGCTTTCTTCTTTCGGTAGCATTTCTTCTCATTAGTTCTAAAAGCATTCTTAGCTTTGTTTATTAGGCATGCCTGTATTTATTTAAGTTACTAAGGAAAATGAAACTGTTCTCCTGCTGATTATGAAGCACTGTTGTGCATTTTCCCTCATAGAAGCCTTGTTTTTTCCCCTGCTGAATCTGTAACAAACAAGATGACTGATGTTTGGCTTAAATATCACCTGCATTACATTAATTGTGTGTTTGCCAAAGCCTGTCAAAAGCAGCAAGAAAACTGAAAGGAAGAACAAACTGGAAACAAGAATCAAAGGAAAGCCTAATAGCTTTTATACTCTTCCAAGGACTGTTGGACACAAACCGAGGGCTGGCCATCAAGAGAAACACAAAGGGAAAATGAGTAGTTATCATATTAATTTTACACACCATTCTTTCTTTGCCAATTTTTATATTACTTTGCAAGTTGTCTAATTGCAAAGTGTGGTTCACAACTTTAACAAACAAAATGGAGAGTTTATACCAATTCTTGGTGCACACTTCAAAATTCGTCTTTCATTCTCTCTCTCTCTCTCTTTTTCGATGGACACAGCAGCACAACAAGGAACATAAATACAGAATCCTCCCTATCACCCAGCATGCCAAGTGAATAGTTTCAGCTTTTCATACTCACATACACCTATCTGCCCAGAGAAAGAATGCAGAAGTCACAGCAAGAGATAGCAGATAGAAGGGGAATGAGAGAGACTGAGAGTGGATCTTTGTGGGCAAGAAACACTGACTCATCTTGAATTCACTCCCTGGTTGTCCTCACAATGAGTGTTTCTGGTGAATATCATGGATTTTCCTGCCTTCAACCATCTTTACCCTGCTTCAGGAAAAGTCAGGGAATTTTCTACAGTTGTCTGGAAAACCCAGAGTATTCCACACCTTTTGGGTTATCTGGATAGCTGTATCTGGTCCAATTTGGACTGGTCCACTGTCCAGAAGGGACACCACCATCACCCTTGGAAATGGAGTGCATGTATCACCACTGCCACTGCTCCCAGTCAGCTATAGAGCTCCATGCAAATTCCTGACAATCACAGGTACCCCATTCTGCTATCAACAGAGGTTCCTGCATGACTGAAAAGAAGATGAGGGGATCGGCCAGAAGTTCACATGGAGTTTTGTGGCCATCTGGGAGTGGCAGTGGTGAAGTGATGGTCCAGCAGGACTGATGTAGTCTTGGCTGAGCTGGAGTACATGGACACACCAATGCAGTGTCACATTGGATTAAGCATAGTGCATGTGGCCACTTCTAGGGCCAATCTGGATAATTTCTGCTCCAGGCTGCCCACAAATGTACCAGCAATGTAGATTTGCTTTGAACATGGGATGTAGCAGGACAAACAATAGAGTGGGTAGCAGTGTGAGAAAGTGAGCTCAGAAAGTTGAGTGGAGGCTGTGGCTACTATACAGTGACACCTTGAGGAAGCCATAGGGGTTGAGGCAAAGAACTCAAAAGGGCAGAACAAGCTGCTTATCAAAGTGATTTTTCTGTGGGTCAGTGGTATGCAAAGAAAAAAGTATCTCTACCCCAGTTTTTTAAAAAAGACCTGAACTCCCTAGCACTAAAGCAAGTATGCAAAGAACCCTACGAGCCCACCAGGACTTTGAGATCGTCCGGGAAGGCCCTGCTCTCGATCCCGCCTGCCTCACAGGCACGCCTGGCGAGGACGAGAGACAGGGCCTTCTCGGTGGTGGCTCCTCGGCTGTGGAATACCCTTCCCGTGGACATCAGACTGGCTCCTTCCCTGATGATATTCCGCAGGAAATTAAAGACGTGGCTGTTCAAGAAGGCGTTCAAACAAGAAGTGCAATAATTGGTAATGACGACAGGAATGGAACAACGGAAAATGATACTGGTTTGTGGTTTAAATGATGAGACGACGCGAATGGCTTTTTGTATTTTGATATTGTTGATGTTTTTGATGATGATGTTTTTTGATTATTGCTAGATTGGTATTTTAGATTGTGTTGAATTTTGAACCTTGTTCCTTCTATGTTGTACACCGCTGTGAGTCGCCCTCGGGCTGAGAACAGCGGTATATAAGTAAAGTAAATAAATAAATAAATAAATTGTCGAAGGCTTTCATGGCCGGAATCACTCAGTTCTTGTGGGTTTTTTCGGGCTATATGGCCATGTTCTAGAGGCATTTCTCCTGACGTTTCGCCTGCATCTATGGCAAGCTTCCTCAGAGGTCTGCTGGAGCTGGGAAAAAGGGGTTTATATATCTGTGGAATGACCAGGGTGAGACAAAAGGCTTTTGTAAGTTGGGCTAGGTGTGAATCTTTTCAACTGACCACCTTGATTAGCATACAATGGGCTGACAGTGCCTGGAGCAAACTCTCTTGAAAGGTGATTAGATGTCCCTGCCTGTTTTTCTCTCTGCTGTTTTAATTTTAGAATTTTTTAATACTGGTAGCCAGATTTTGTTCATTTTCATGGTCTCTTCCTTTCTGTTGAAATTGTCCACATGCTTCTTGTGGATTTCAATGGCTTCTCTGTGTAGTCTGACATGGTGGTTGTGAGAGTGGTCCAGCATTTCTGTGTTCTCAAATAATATGCTGTGTCCATGTTGGTTCATCAGGTGCTCTGCTATGGCTGACTTCTCTGGTTGAAGTAGTCTGCAGTGCCTTTCATGTTCCTTGATTCGTGTTTGGGCAATGCTGCGTTTGGTGGTCCCTATGTAGACTTGTCCACAGCTGCATGGTATACGGTAGACTCCTGCAGAGGTGAGAGGATCCCTCTTGTCCTTTGCTGAACGTAGCATTTGTTGGATTTTCTTTGTGGGTCTGTAGATTGTTTGTATGTTGTGTTTCCTCATCAGCTTCCCTAATCGGTCAGTGGTTCCCTTGATGTATGGCAGGAACACTTTTCCTCTGGGTGGATCTTCATCTTTACTCTCGTGGTTTGTTCTTGGTCTTGCAGCTCTTCTGATGTCTGAGGTGGAGTATCCATTGGCCTGGAGAGCCCAGTTGAGGTGGTTCAGTTCATCTTGGAGGAGGTGGGGTTCACAGATTCTTTTTGCACGGTCTGCCAAGGCTTTAAGGGTGCTTCTTTTTTGACTTGGGTGATGGTTGGAGTTTTTATGTAGATATCTATCTGTGTGTGTGGGTTTTCTGTAGACGGTGTGACCCAATTGTTGATCTGGTTTGCGGATGACTAGGACATCTAGAAAAGGCAGTCTTCCTTCCTTTTCTTTTTCCATGGTGAACTGGATGTTTGGGTGGATGCTGTTAAGATGTTCCAGGAACCTGTTGAGTTCTTCTTCTCCATGGCTCCAAATGGTGAAAGTGTCATCCACATATCTGAACCATATAGTGGGCTTTTTGGTTGCTGTTTCAAGAGCTTGGTTTTTCAAATTGTTCCATGTAGAAGTTAGCTATGACTGGGCTGAGAGGGCTCCCCATAGCTACTCCATCTTTCTGTTCATAGAATTCATTGTCCCACTGAAAATAGCTGGTGGTGAGGCAATGGTGAAACAGCGCCGTGATGTCTTCTGGGAACCTCTGGTTGATGAGTGCCATGGTGTCTGCAACTGGGACCATGGTAAATAGAGACACCACATCGAAGCTGATCAGTTTGTCCTTTGTATTTAGCTTGAGATTGCTGATTTTTTCAATGAAGTGGGCTGAGTCCTTGATGTAGTGTGTTGTGAGCCCAATGTGGCTTTGTAACTGTGCAGCAAGAAATTTGGCTAAGTCATATGTGGGGGACCCAATGGCACTCACGATTGGTCTGAGTGGGGTGGAGTCCTTATGGATTTTGGGGAGTCCATAAAGCCTGGGTGGAAGGGCTTCCGATTTACATAGCTGCTGTCGTATGTCGAAGTTGATTGAGGAGTTTTTAATTAGAGTGTTGGTTTTTCTGGTTATTTTGGAAGTTGGGTCTTGCTTAAGTTTTCTGTATATAGTAGGGTCCAGGAGTTTTCTGATCTTCTCCTTGTATTGCTCTGTATGCATGATGACTGTGGCATTCCCCTTGTCTGCTGGCAGAATGAGGATATCAGGATCTGAATTTAGGTCTCTAATGGCTTCTCTTTCCTTCCTAGTAATGTTACTGGAGGGGAGTTTTGCCTTTTTCAGGATCCTTGCTGCTTCCGCTCGTACTTCTTCTGCTTCCTCCTCTGGGAGGCGGTAAATTGCTGATTCGACATTGGCAATGATGTTTTCTACTGGGATCCTGGTGGCGGTTACAGCAAAGTTTCCTCCTTTCGCTAGTATGGATACTTGGTCTTCAGAGAGTTGTCTGTCTGTCAGGTTGATGATGGTCCGTGATGTATCCAGTTCTGGTTTCAGCTGTTGCTTTTGGCGTTTGTGGAATTTTTGTTTTTGTCTGTTGGTGTGGACAGCCATGTTTTTCTCCATTTTCCTGTAAGTGAGGTTGTCTATTTTGTCCCAGTCCTGGGAATTCATCTTCTGGCTGATGTTGATATGGAGGTGCAGCAGTTCCTTGTCTTTGTTTGCGAGTTCTTTGCGGATGGTGTGAATTCTCTCTCTTAAGAGGTTGCGTTCCAGGCGGTCATAGATCCGGTGAGCCTGTGGTGTTTTGAAAGTCCTTTTGGCTGCGAGGAATTGTGGGATGGTATCTGTGTCTCTGCAGCGTAGAAGGAAAGTCAGGGAGCACAGTAGATGTGCTTTCCTGGTCCTTAGTTTCTCCAATTTCCGTGTGTCTTGGAACAGTTTCTCCCCGTAGAGATGTTCAATGTATTGTCGAAGGCTTTCATGGCCGGAATCACTCAGTTCTTGTGGGTTTTTTCGGGCTATATGGCCATGTTCTAGAGGCATTTCTCCTGACGTTTCGCCTGCATCTATGGCAAGCTTCCTCAGAGGTCTGCTGGAGCTGGGAAAAAGGGGTTTATATATCTGTGGAATGACCAGGGTGAGACAAAAGGATACTCCACCTCAGACATCAGAAGAGCTGCAAGACCACAAACAAGCCACGAGAGTAAAGATGAAGATCCACCCAGAGGAAAAGTGTTCCTGCCATACATCAAGGGAACCACTGATCGCATAGGGAAGCTGATGAGGAAACACAACATACAAACAATCTACAACCCACCAGGAAAATCCAACAAATGCTACGTTCAGCAAAGGACAAGAGGGATCCTCTCACCTCTGCAGGAGTCTACCGTATACCATGCAGCTGTGGACAAGTCTACATAGGGACCACCAAACGCAGCGCCCAAACACGAATCAAGGAACATGAAAGGCACTGCAGACTACTTCAACCAGAGAAGTCAGCCATAGCAGAGCACCTGATGAACCAACCTGGACACAGCATTTTATTTGAGAACACAGAAATGCTGGACCACTCTCACAACCACCATGTCAGACTACACAGAGAAGCCATTGAAATCCACAAACATGTGGACAATTTCAACAGAAAGGAAGAAACCATGAAAATGAACAAAATCTGGCTACCAGTATTAAAAAAATTCTAAAATTAAAACAGCAGAGAGAAAAACAGGCAGGGACATCTAATCACCTTTCAAGAAGAGTTTGCTCCAGGCACTGTCAGCCCATTGTATGCTAATCAAGGTGGTCAGTTGAAAAGATTCACACCTAGCCCAACTTACAAAAGCCTTTTGTCTCACCCTGGTCATTCCACAGATATATAAACCCCTTTTTCCCAGCTCCAGCAGACCTCTGAGGAAGCTTGCCATAGATGCAGGCGAAACGTCAGGAGAAATGCCTCTAGAACATGGCCATATAGCCCGAAAAAACCCACAAGAACTGAGAAATAAATAAATATTTCTTGTCTGAAATTTCAGCAGCTTAATGCCATCAGAAGAAATTACTAACAACAAATTTATTCCAGCTCCTTAAATAAAATAAGTGTAACCTGCAATGTCTTGGTTTTCCCATTGTGGCCCTCAATGAAGATATTGGAAGCTTTTTTTTAAAAAAAAAGTATTCCTGTTTGATGAAGTGGAATTCTATTCCAAGTCTTAGCTGAAATATTCTCCTGCCTGAGCTACAGAAATGGCACAGCCATTGCTTTTTTACACACATTCTTTCCCGTTGCAAATGCACTGTAACCTCCTTGAGATAGAGAGACCTGTTTTATTACTTATGTTATTCTTTACAATGCCTTTATCCACTAAAGTAACTGGATAATAAAAGGATTTAATTTTCCTTAATAAAGTAAGAGAAATACAAAGAGAAAACTGTAGTACCGGATCAAAATCAAGCATATTACTGTCATTAGCTAGCATCTATTTTAATGATAACAAGGGATTCTTCTGCCTTTACCAATGTCTCTGCGATCCAATTGACTTTTCAACATGCAGGGACTGCCATTATTCAGAATATTCATAAAAGCAGCAGCAAGAATGTGATTTGCTCACACTTGGAAACAGACTGAATGAATTGCGTACGTTGCTGAGTTGGGCCGGATTGCCAAACTAATGAAAGTTTTAAACCAACTGATTTTTGCCCTAAAAGATTGGAAACCATTTATGGACTTCTTGATCAAAAATAACTCTAATGTAATAACCTGTGGTTATGGTTAATAATACAGTAGCGTCTTGCTTATCCAACTTTCGCTCATCCAACGTTCTGTATTATCCAGCACAGTCTGCCTCCCGCCAGGATTCACAGCTGTTTCAATACATTGAGATGTCTTGGTGCTAAATTTGTAAATATAGTAATTACTATATTAAGTTACCATGGATTGAACTTCTTTTTCTGTTGATTTGTTGTAAAAACATGATGTTTTGGTGCTTAATTTGTAAAATTATAACATAATTTGACATTTAATAGACTTTTCCTTAATCCCTCATTATTATCCAACATTTTTGCTCATCCAATGTTCTTCTGGCCCGTTTATGTTGGATAAGCGAGACTCTGCTGTAATTCTAATTGGATGGTAGAATGTTTTCTTTTTCTTTTCATTACAGTTAGGATGGGGGTAAGGGGGTCAGAGCTTTATTGTGTGTTGGTTATTTGCCCCTTCCTTTCTCCATTTTTTTTTCTTAAAATCATTGAATCATAAGTTGGAAGGGACCTCAAGGGACATCCAGTTCAATCCCTGCCAAGCAATGTGTCCCTGTTGGTTCTCCTGGACCTCTTGGCAGCTTACGATACCATCAACCATGGTATCCTTCTGGGCTGCTTAACTGGGATGGAACTGGGAGGCATTGTTCTCCAGTGGCTTCCGTTCCTTCCTGGAAGGGTGAACCCAGAAGGTGGTGCTGGGAGATCTTGTTCAAACCTCTAACCATTTATTTTAATAAATCCCTCTCAAAGACCTAGCTTTTGTCCATTCAAACAAGTCCCTCAGCTCATTCTGACAAGTAATTGCAGGGGGGAGGGGAGGGGAGAGGGCTTCTTGACTCTTTTCAAAGATAGCCAGGACAAAAGACAAGTTAGATTTTCAAGAATCCTGTTATCACCTGATATGTGTGCCGTGTAATTCAGTCAGACACTCTGCAATTCCTCCCCTACCTGCCTCCCCCCATCACACATACTGTACAAATACGGGCTGCCTTAGTTGGGGGGGGGGAGGGTTCAACACCCCAAGTGAAGAATACATAATTTTTACTCCTCTTCCACCCACCTAAAAATAGCACAGAATGGGATCTGAAATTTAATGTTAGCTTACTATAAACTACACGGTGGTTTGCAGAATCCAGTTTGGTTGCCTAGCAACAGAGTGCAGCTATTTGAAGCACTCCCTGATGAAAGAAAGAAAGAAAGAAAGAAAGAAAGAAAGAAAGAAAGAAAGAAAAGATAATGGTCTTTTTATTAAGCAATGTTCATAAAATGTTTCCCTTTTTTACTTTCTTTTAATATTCTCTTCTGTTACTTCCCATTTTGGCCCACTTTCTTTACTGCATCACAAATCTATCTCTGTACTGACTTGATGGCATACAACAGCAAAGGGATACTTCCATAGAATCAACAGAAACCAATGTCTCCCATTGCTTTTCTTGAGGAGACAACAAGGAAAGAAAACCACAGAAAACATAACTAGAGCAGCAAAGGAAAGAAAAGAGGAAAAGTAATGGAACAAGTAATAAGAATACACCTGGCAAAAAGGTACAGGGCAACAAAATACTGGGAAGATTAACAGGTAGGTCATTTATCACTTTGATTGCCGATTCAAATAGCCTTCTGAAAGAAAAATTGTACTATTCCATTATCTGGGAGGAGGGCCACTAGGGGGTGCTAGGGAGTGAAGGATAGAGCATTTTATGAAGGGCGGGAGTTGAAGGAGAAAACCACCCCTCCACCTCCATTTTCCTATTATTCCCCCCACCCATGCCCCCATTGTGGAAACATTTATGATTTATCATTTCTGATAGGGGGAAGGGGAATAAACTGGCAAAAATGGGGGGAAATGGGTTTGCTCTTTCAACTCCACCCCCCCTCTCTCTAGCGCTTCCTAGTGGCTTCTGCCTGGAGAATGCAGCTGTCCCAAAATAACAATACTGTCAAGATCAATAAACAATCTTTTGATTATTTCTCACCCCATCATCTATATGCATCTTTTTTCAGTCTTGCTTTGTGTCTCAGGGAAGGAGGAAGGAATGAAAGAATGTTGTGTGTAATAAGTATTCCTTTTTGATATCAAAACACCTAGTAGACCTGTTGCATATATAGCATGCCTACTGTTTAAAATAAGGCAAAGACTCTGCTCTCTCAGGTGGGCTCCCTCACTGTTCATTTATCAATTTCAATTATTATTGTTGTGCTGGAATATCAGAGATTTTTACATATTGCTGTGTTCATCCTACACAACTCACTTCTTGAGCTATGGTTTGAAATGTTTTTGTCTTGTCTTTGGTGTGTCTTGCCAGATATTTTAAATGGTGCTCCCCAAACCTCTCTGGGATTTTTATTATAGGTTGTTCTTTTACAAATAAGCATTAACTGAGAGATTAAGTTTACGTTTGCTGAAAGAGAATGGGGTCTCATCCAGCTCAGGTTATAGTAAATGGAAATACCTAGGTTTTAAAAATAACACCATTCCAATTTTTCATGCCATAAATAATGGCAGACTGTACTACAAAAAATACAATCTTGTTTTGTAAAGAGGTCCATTCAGTCGCTTAAGGACATCTCCCATTTCATGATATTGAACACATTTTCCATCTCTTGTAAGTGGTTCAGCATTTTCCTTTCCCTGACAAAAACTACCATTTTACAATGATATGAGATTGTTATTGCAGGTACTCAGATAGTTTATATATTGGCTTCACATTACACAAAAGCCATTTTGAGACCAAAACTTAAACATTGAAAGACAAAAAGCCTGCATGCAATCCTAAAGACACATTCAACAAAGCTGCCTTTCCCACAAAAAAACAAATGCTGTATTTACTCAAATGTAATGCACATCTTTTGGGCTAAATTGCTTAGCCAAAATGAAGGTGTGCAATACATTGAATGGTGCATTACAATCACACACCAAAATCTTGCCTATGCCCTACCATCAGGCTAAGGCTAGCGAACTGATGGAGAGACAGTGGCAGCTTTGTGCCCCATTTCTCTTCCCTGGCATCTCTTCTTCTTTCCATCTTGGAAGCAGAAGTTGAAGCACTCCGCTGCCCTTCCCCGGCATCTTCTCTTCTTTCCAGCTGGGGAAGGAAAAGGAGAAAACTGCCTTCCCAATTCACAAGATTTCTTAGGTAAAGGTAAAGGTAAAGATTTTCCCCTGACATTAAGTCCAGTCATGTCCGACTCTGGGGGGTGGTGCTCATCTCCATTACTAAGCTGAAGAGCTGGTGTTGTCCATAGACACCTCCAAGATCATGTGGCCAGCATGACTGCATGGAGCACCGTTACCTTCCTACCGGAGCGGTACCTATTGA